CTCACTGGAACCACTGCCACGTGTCTCTGGTCTTTGTCACCAGCGCTCCACCAGCCCCTTCACCTTCTCACGCACCCGGTTCCAGGAACTACTTGCCAGACCGGGCGGGGGGGTCGGGGGGCTCGGGGTGCCTGCATGCACTCCTCGCTGGCAATCTGGGGGTGACAGGGGGCGCCTTGGGTAGGCTGGGATCCCAGAACCCTGCTCCCTCCCTGCCCACTGTCACTGTCACTCCTGGTGGCCCACGGGCAGCCCTTCGCCAGTCCACTGGCCTTCACCCCCTTATATGTCCCTCTCTCTCGCCAGTTGCCCTCCGTCAGCCATTGGTCATCTCCCTTCCCCCTCTGTGCCCGCGGCCCCTCCTGTCACCCCTCTGTCTGCCTGTGGTTCTCTCCCTCGCCCGTCACCCCACCTCTCTGACCCCGGTGTCTGTCCAGGCGCCTCCTTCACCACGGATCTTGCTGCCCCTCCGTTCTCCCGTGACCCCCACACCGAACTCCATCCCGGTGCCCCCGGGGATGGAGCCAGCAAGGCTGTGCTGTCCTGGTGGGCGCTGCCCTCCCTTGCACCTGGCAAAGCCTCACCCACAGAGCAGCCACCACACAGCTGCACATGTACATGCATGTACAGAGGCACCCATGTGACAGGCGGTGTGCCCTTGGCCAATGACTGACCCTCTTCTAGACTCAGTTTCCCTTTCTGTGGCACGGGCTGATGACAGGACCTACCTCCCGGGCTACCGTGGGATTCAGAATGAACTCGTGTCAGGCACTCGCACCGGTGCCTTGCACACTGAGGCGCTGTATACGTGTTAAAACTGTACATGCACGAGCACACCCAGGTGGACTCGCTCCGGGGCTCACACACGCCCTCACACGTGGACACACTCAAAGCTTTTGCATAAAGACCCCACAAAGGCACACGTGCGCGCGTAGGCACACACATTCACCAGGACTGCACATTCATGCTTACACACACATGCATGACCACTGTCCTGTGTTCCAACCCCACATACACACTTCACACACAACTGCCGCTGACACATACTCGCCAAGAGCACGCATGTCTACAAACTGCACTGCACGTCACAGTCGCACTCATCCCCCGCCGCTGCGGGGTCCCCACAGCCCCCCACCCACAACTTCTCACCCACAACACAGGCCAGGACCACAGCGCAGAGGCCGAGGGCGGCCAGGGCCCGGGGCCCGAGTCCAGGGAGCAGCATTTCTGGGGGCTCTGTCTCTCTGTGCTCAGCGATCCGGGCTGGGGGAGGGGAGGCTGCACCGCGCACAGCCCTCCCCCGGCCTCCCACGCCCCTTGGCGGGGACTTCAGAGAGAGGGACCTACATGGCAGTGACCATCAGAGGCTACGCCCGCCCCCGCTGGCCTCCCTCCTGCCTGCCTTCCCAGCTCCTGGCAAGAGAGGGGAAGGCAGAACATTCGTTGGCCTCCTGTGCTGAACCAGGTTCAAACCCTGGCTCCACCCCATGTGACTTCATGGGCCAGTCACCAGTTCTGGCCTCAGTTTCCTGCTCTGTAAAATGGGCCCACAATCCATGCTTCAGGCAGGACATTAACTCAAGGAGATGATACAAGGAAAGGTGCTAACACAGAGCCTGGCGATGAATGTGGTCATAGATCAGAGCTGTGTACGATTATTTCTTTCTTCTCTCACATCTCTTGGCTATAGGGCCAGACACACCCTCACCACATGGCCTGGGCAAATACATCCCCTTCTCTGGGCCTCAGTGTTTCCATCTGTAAAATGGGGGTGGTAATAAGCACCTGCCATGCAGAGTCCGTGTGAAGGCTGGGTGAGGCCCGGGAGGGAAGGCTCCAGATGCGTGTAGTAGGAGGTTGTTGGCATCAGGTTGGTGCCCAACGCTAGACAGAAAGAAAATGAGCCTATTTTGCCCTGGCCGGGTAGCTCAGTTGATTCGCGCGTCATACTGATACTCCAAGGTTGTGGGTTCGATCCCAGGTCAGGGCACATACAAGCATCAACCAATGAATATAAATAAGTGGAACAACATATTGATGTTTCTCTCTCTCTCTCTCTCTCAAAACAAAGACAACATAAAACAGAAAATTATTTTATGTTTTATTTTTTCAAAATCTTTATTGTTGAAAGTATTACATATGCCCCCCTCCCCATTGACCCCTCTAGCCCGCCCCCATCCTCTACCCCAGGCCTTCACCACCCTATTGTCTGTGTCGATGGATTATGCATATATATATATATATATATATATATATACACACACACACATATATATATATGAGAAAATTATTTTTAAAAAGAAGTCCTCAGTCTAGGGTTGCCAGATAAAATGCAGGACTCCCGGTGATGTGGGCATTTCAGATAAATGATGCATTTTACTTCCAGTGTAGGTATGTCCCATTCAGCATTTCGGAATTATACTAAAAATGATCTGTTGTTTATCTGAAATTCAGGTCTCACGGGGCGTCCTGTATTTGTAGGAGGAAATCTGGCAACCCC